ATTCAACATTGTTTCAGGTGGTGTCTGGATGGAACTATGAAGTTACTTACTTAATTCAGCAAACTAATTGTTCCAAGGAGAATTTTACATTCTTAACCCAAGACTGCAAGGCCCTTTTCAATGCTGTAAGTAGGCAAAAAATGATTATAAAGTTATTAGCATTTGGTGTCCAGTATTTGCAGGTGTGGAAATACTCAGCTACACAGGAAGACTTGGTCACTAAGATTTTAGATGACATGCATGAATTCGCAGCCACATTCTCCATGTCACTAGTCAAGCTGCCTTACCTACCTGGTCACAAGATCTGTACATTTACATATATAACCAGGGCGTGAGATAAAATGATGCCATGTCAAGTTTGTCTGTTCATGTCTTCACACTTTCCTGTCTCCCTTTCTTCCCACCTGCTTAAGGTCCTTCCCAGTGCTCCTGAGCTCTGCGCAGGACACTCCTTAACTTTCAATTTGCCTTTGCTTTTTTTTCCCCTTCCCTCACCTCTCCTTTATTTTTGTTACACTTCCTGAGCCTACACCACTTTATCAGAACCAAAATTATGTTACAAGAGAGTATCACAAGGTGGCAGTAGTTAGTGCATGTGCAGATGCCTAAGGCACAATGACCATCCCAGGGATATTTGCATTTTAGCAGAAAACTACTTTAAGCAAGGGATTGCTTCAAGCCCTTTAGTCTGTTGTTCTACTTCTACAATTCTATTATGTGGGAAGAATATGAGAAACCCAGACATTAAGATATTAATTTCAGCATTATTATTAATAGAAAAACATTGGAAATGTTTTCAACATTAGGGAATGTTTAAATGACTTACAGTATATCCACACAGTAAAAATATGTGCAGCCATTAAAAGTATGTTTACAGATTTTTTAGTGACTTAGTAAAATGGTTATAATATGGTAAGTTAAAAAATATATAAAATTATAGATACACATTCACTTAAATATATAAAGTAAATGTAAATATCAAAAGTGATGGAGGGTCCCTGGGTGGTTTTGTTCAGTGGGTAGAGCGTCGGACTGCAGACCAAAGGGACCCTGGTTCAATTCTGGTCAAGGGCACATTACTCGGTTGCAAGCTCCTTCCAGCCCAGACCACGCCCTGGTTCAGGGCAGGTGCTGGAGGCAACCTATTGATGTGTTTCTCTCACATTGATGTTTCTCTCTGTCTTTCCCTTTCTCTTCCACTCTCTCTAAAGTCAATGGAAAAATATCTTCAGGTGAGGATTAACAACAACAAAAAAAGTGATGGAGGGGAGCATTTGAGATCTTGCTCCCTGTCATATGTTGTTAGTTTTCCTAACAACATACCACAAAATACCACGTGCAGGCACGCATGTGCTGTGCGATTGAAACTTCTTGGCCCATGCGCAGAAGTCGATATTTTGTGGAAGAGCCACACTCTAGGGGCCAAAGAGCCTCATGTGGCTCGCAAGCCGCAGTTTGCTGACCACTGGAATTCATAAAAAAATTTTAAGTGATGAAAAAAATATGCAAAAATATAAAACAGAGTAAACTTTCAGTTGGAACTATGGGTGCCTTTTTTGATTTTATACTTTTTGGAACTCTTTAGTACTTGCCAATGTTTCTAATCAAGCATGTATTTATTTCATAATTGGGAGAAAAGTTAAAAGGATACTATTAAGAGAGTGAAAAGACAACCCAGAAAATAGGAGAAATTATTTACATCATATATCTAATAAAAATTAAGTATGCAATATATAAATAACTCCTATAAAACAACAACAAAAAGACAATCAACCTAATTTTCAAATGGGCAAAGGACTTTAAAATAAACATTTCTCTAAAGAAGATATGCAAACAGTCATTAAACACATGAAAAGATGCTCAACATAATTAGCTACGACGGTGTGTGTGTGTGTGTGTGTGTGTGTAAAACATGTTACAAGAAAGTATCACAATGAGATGCCATTTCATACCTAAAAGATGGCTATAATTTTTTAAAAATTGGAAAATTACTAATATTGGGGAGGACGTGGAAAAACTGAAACTTTTGTCCATTGCTGATGAGAATGTAAATGGTGCAGCCACTGTGGAAAACACTTTGGTAGTTCCTCAAAAAGTTACACATAGACTTACCATATGACACAGCAATGGCACTCCTAGGTATGTACCCAAAAGAATTGAAAAACAGGGAGTCAAACAGATACTTACATGCCAGGATTCGTTGCAACATTATTCACAATAGTCAAAAAGTGGGAACAACCCAAGTGTCCATCAATAGATGAGTGGAAAAACAAAATGTGATGTATATATAAAACAATGGAATGTTCTTTAGCCATAGAGAGAAATGAAATTCTGCCACAATCTACAACTTAGATGAACCTTGAAAACATTATGCTAAGTGAAAGAAGCCAGACATAAAAAGACAAATATTGTATGATTCCACTTATATGAAATATCTAACACATGCATAGGAACAAAAGTAGATTCGAGTTTATCATGGGCTAGGGGGAGGGAGAATGTGAATTTATTGCTTAGTGGGTACAGAATTTGTGTTTGGAATGATGAAAACTATTGGAAATAGATAGCAGTGATGGTTAAATAATGTAATTAATATCACTGAGTTATATACTTAAAAATGGTTGAAATGGCAAATTTTATGTTACATATATTTTACCATAATAAAAAAAATAGTAAAAAGGATCTGGCCTTTAAAGCATGTATTAACACCTTCTATTTTATGTTCTTTAGTTAGCCATTTGAGATTATATAGGCTTAAATGTTATCTGGCTTTAATCTCCCTGCATCTGTTTGTAAGGCCTCAATTTAGTTCTTTCTTTGCAACACACACAGATGCAGGGCTGATTGGAGTCACAAATCCAATCAGATTTCTGGTATAACTTCCTGAACTTCCACTTCTTCATTTGTAAAATGGTGAGGAATAACAGCACCGGTCTCACAGCGTTGTTACAATAATTAAAGGACACAAAATATACATGAACTCTCTTGCCTACAACTGGTAAGACTGAAGGCCTTGCTATTCCAAGTTGGTCCCTGAACCAGCAGCATCAGCATCACCAGGGAGCTTGTTAGAAAAGCCAAATCTTGAATTCCACCCACACCTACTGAATCTGCATGTTAAGAAGATTCTCAGGTGAGCCATTTGCACTTTAAGGTTGGAAAAGCACTGATTTAAGAGTTTCATAAATAGTTCTTGGGCCATACTGCATATTAGAATCACATTGCCAGCTTTAAAAATAACCTCTCCTAGGCCATTCCCCAGGCATTCTGATTAGGTCTGGGGTGGGTCTCTAGAGTCAGAATAACCTAAAAGCTTCTAGGTGAATCAAATATGCTAATAGAATTGAGAAATTCAGAGCTACTGCCGGTATCCATCTCCTCATTCAAAATTAAGGTATTATAAGTGTGGTATTCCTTGTATCTTTAACAACTATGACATTATATATATCCCCTTATTGGAAATAAACATTTCCAATGCAGAAGGCAATGCAGAAACATAGAAAACAATAATAATATTAAACCACATACCCAAATACCCAAAGATATCTTAGTGTATTTCACTCTTATCTTTTTTTGGGGGGTGGAAGAGTGGAGGAGATATAGACAATTTGGTGATTTTTTTGGTTAATAATTGTCATTATTTTACATGCTGCATTTAAAAAATATTTTTATTGATTTCAGAGAGAAAGGGAGAGGGAGAGAGAGATAGAAATATTACATGCTCTACATTGGGGATTGAGCCCACAACCCAGGCATGTGCCCTGACCAGGAATCAAACAGTGACCTCCTGGTTCATAGGTCAACGCTCAACACTAAGCCATGCTGTCCAGGCTTACATGATGCATTTTTTTCACATAAGAATTTTCCTACCTCATTAAAACTCTTGATAAACTTTCTTTTAAATAAATGTATAACATCCTATTAAAGATATGATAGATTGTTTTTTTAAATGATTTTCAAATAGTTAGACATTTGAGTTGTTTCCATTTTTATTATCATTAATAACTCACCAAACATTCTTGAGAATAAAGCTATTTCTGTATTTGGTATGTTCTTATTTTCATAAATAGAAATTTGTTAGAAATTTATGAATTGTTTTCCATATCCTTTGTCCATTTCTCTTTGGGATAAATCTCAATTATTTGAAAAAAAAAACTTTTTCTGTATTAAAGGTATCAGTATTTTGTCATATTTTCTCAATTGTTCATTTTTTAGTTTTCATTATGGTATTCTGACTTACCAATAGATTTTGCTTATTGATGACCAAATCTAATAACATGTTTCTTTTGAGTTCTTCCACCATTTGCTCAGTATACATCTTTTTTCCCTAGTTTGTCTAGTCAGTATTTTTAAATATAGCTTTTGAACCTATCTGGAATTAATTTTAATGTATCTTTTGAGGTCTCTAAATTGAGGCTTTTTTCAAGAGGATAACCAGATATCTCAACATTCTTCCTTTATACATAAATTTATGACAACCTTAATTCCATAATAGTTTCTTATGAAAAACCTGTTCTCTACTAATATATTTGTACTGCCATGTTTTAATAGTAGGTTTAAATTTGTGATTTATTATTCTAGTGTTTATAACTTCAAAACCAACCTTAGAATAAGATTGTAAGAAAAACATATGTCATATTTGGTTTTCCTCTTTTCCTACTGCCTTCTATTTTTTAGTTAGGTGGTTAGCCACTATTTTTTGACTTGGGTAGTTTGCCTGTATTTTCTATATTCAGAAACAGTTTACATAGCAAGGAACTAAATGTACCTTTAATTTTAAAAATTATTCATCTATAAAACATGTATGTTGTTTGGAGGTGAGAAATGGAATGGAAGTTGAGAGTAATGATAGCATTCTCTGCTCTTCAGTTATTGTTTCATTCAAATATGTTCTTGTGTTTAAGTCAGCATTGGTTATTTATAGTTTTCCAGAAAAGTATCCATTTCTTTGGGATTTAAAGTAGCATACACTTGTTCATAATTATTCTCTTATATTTTTAGCTTCTTTGTTCCTTTGCTATGATGCCTTTTTTTTTTTTGCATTTGATTTTTTTCCTTATCCCAAGAATGAGCATTTGGATTTATTTTTGGATTATTTTACTAATGCTAGTGCTTTCTGCTTTCTAGTTCATCAGTGTTGCTTTATTGTTTCCTCCTTTTTTGTTTTGCTTAAGGCTATTTATTATTTTTTCCCTTTTTCTAACTTCCTGATATAAACAGCTCGGTTTGAGGTTGTTTCATTTGTTTCTTGCCTCTCTCTTTTTAAATTATGAGAGCATATAAAGCCATGAGTTTAATTCCAAATGCTTCTCTGTCAAGTCTGTAAAATTATCAGTTTTCTTATTTTGTTTTCTATATTTTTCCTTATTCAAAGAAGACCCTGACTATTTAGGCAAATATGTTTAGATTTCCAAGTAGTTACTTTTTTGTTTGTTTAAATGTATTTTTAAAATTGTTTTCTTTTGGTGCTGAGGTCAAAGGACATGGCCTGTATTATTTTGATTTGAAAATTTATTGAGCCTTTTTGTAATCTAATATAAAAGCAATTAAAATATATGTATCATACTTATAAAAATATTATTTAAGTCATATGGATTATATGAAAATACCATCTAAATACATTTTTATTATTTTATTCATCCATTTGGTCTATCTTTTTTTTCCTTTTTAATTTTTTTTAATTAAATCTTTATTGTTCAGATTATTACAGTTGTTCCTCT